GGGGGGGGGGGGGGGGGGTATGGATCCTCACCGAGACGGCAAGCTCCTCTGAGCATCCGAGGTACTTGGAGGTTCATGGGTAGTTGTTAAGTAGGGTTATTCGTCCCCTAATATGGGTTATTGTTATAGTAACCCTACTTATAGTAGAGGAGAGACAGAGAGCCCAACAAACAGAAGACGCTCCAGGATGGGTCCAAAGCCGGGCCTTGGCTTCGGTGTTTTGTCCACGGGCACGCCGGAGTACGCGGCGGGGGCCTCGGAGTCTCGGAGGGCTGACTTCGGCCGTTTCGGGGGGGATGGGACCCACTTGGAGGTTCATGGGTAGTTATAAGTGGGGCTATAAGTAGGCTATAACCCATATCAGGGGACTTATAACCCTACTTATAACTACCCATGAACCTCCCACTCCAGGTTCCAGGGAACTGCACAGTGCCTGTGCCTGGTCCCAAGTCCTGCCCGAGCCTGAGCCCAAGAGAGAAAGGGTGTATGCATCCGGCATCAGGAAGTTTTGAGTACACAAGGATGCAATCTGTGGTCCATGCAGTAGAGAGCCTTCGTGTGCTTGCCGGGACAAGGTTCTTACGGCACTCTTCTCACTCCGAGAACAGATGAGCTTTGGGGCTGGAGCTCAGTGCCAGTGCCTGGTCTGCAACATTCAGGCCTGAAAGACACATCCGTAGAGATGCCGAGCGGTGATAGGTGACAAGGTTATACCATGTCGCACTCAATATCAACACAGTCGTTCCATCGCAGAGCAATCCACCATCTTTTGCAACCGGGGACTATTGCAAAGGGATGCGACTGATGAGAAGCAGCCGCCCAGCGTGTCAATGTGTCAAGACACCAACACTCTGTTCCTTCATGATTGGAGGAAAAGGGGACTGCGATCTGTCTGAGGTTTCTGCACCAGATCTACCCGAGTTGTCCATGGGCCAGGCCCGCTCGGTAGTTTGCTTCAGGCTTTCGATCAGCCTGCGCAGAAAGTTAACTCCGCGGAGTTTGCAGAAAATCGAAGCCAGCTCACAAGGAAGCATCTTCCCCGCGGAATCCATTCGCGAATCCCGACGCGCCTGGGCCCTGGGCTCGTGACGCCCCGTGCTTTGGTAAGCGAGCCGCCGCTGAATTCTGCAAGATCAAAGTAGATTCGCCCCAAGCCTAGCCTTGCAGGCAAAGTAACTAGTTACAGAAGCAGATGAACACATCGTGGCAAGACAAAGATCACACTGGATGTATGCATGTCATGTCTTGCTCCTGGAGAGCACGTAGCTGCTAGCTACTCGTAAGGCTAACTAGACTAGGCCTGGTAGCATCTCACGATGAACTGAGGTATGTTCAGCCGCACAATCGTTGGACATTGCCAGCTCGGCGTCGACGGCCTGCTGTGCTCACGGTCCAAGGCGGTGCCAACTTCAACGGTAGGATTCCGGCGAGATGTTCCCACAGGCCCTGTCAACTCTGCCTTAGCAGGACCGCCTGTTTTTCCAGTCGCCGAAGGACCGGCATGCATATTGTTTTCTCGCAGATCCTTGATGCTCCCCCCTTCTGATTACTCTTGACGATTCTCGGTTCCAGCTCAAGTGTGGCCTTCTCTCGCCGCTGGATTTGGTGCAGGTGGGAGCTCCGGGTTCACTTCAGCAAAATATTCTGGCAGCACAGCACTCGGATCCTTCTGTGCTCGCAGTTCAGCCTTTTGGGAGGCCTTCATAAACTTGACTGTGCAGCGTGGGCTTGTTGAGTTCGGAGGGGGGGTGCGTGTTGCAGCACTGACTTGATTGGAGTCGCATGAAGTACACTGGGCCACTATCAGCAGGAGTAGTCCTTACGAGTACCGTTCGGGATGACGACCGTTCACTGTACTCGTAAGGTCAAGTCAGCCAAGTCGTCGAGACCAGCGCTGGTCTCCTGATGGGTTAGAGACAGCTAGAAGCTGAAGCAGTGCTGAAGCATTGCTTCCAACTGTAGATTGGTCGAGCGAATTTCAAGTTGGCAGCCTTTCATTCCTAGCCCGAGACCTGCCACCAGTATTATTCAGCGATTCTTACGCGGGCATGCTAGCTTTCTAGTCGAGTCGCAGCCCGGCTGCTCAGCCTTTGACTTTGACTGTGTGGATACGACGTATGGCACTACTGGAATGTGCAGCATGATGAAGACTGGATGCGATGCGGCACGCAATGTGCAATGTACCAAAATGTGGAACTTGCGAGCAGCTGGTGATGCATCGCGTGCGCGTTTGCCTCTGGCAACACAGTTGCTCAGGGCACCTCCTACGCATGCGAGTCCAAGGCAAATGCAGTAGACAGGTCCCAAGAAGGCGATTCGCAAAGTCGTTTCCATCGCCTTGGATCGGGAGAAACCGTTTGGCTCACAGTTCAGAAAGTGCTGTCTGATGCGGCTGCATGATGGGAGTGTAAGCCAACAACTGAGATTGAGGCCAGTGTGCTTTGAGAACCGTGGTGTGCAAGGATTCCCCTTCGAGAGTTGCTCGGAAATCTGATGACCATAGCATCGAATGTCAGCCATGTAGAGGGCGCAGGCCTGAGTAACGACCTTGTCCAGCAGCCCGCGTCAAGGCTCAAAGCACCAGACATCTTTTGCCAAAAGCAGACCATACACTCATAGACCCACTTCCTTCAGCTGGATTGAGTTGTTTTACCACAGGCGGCACATAAGACATTTACCGCTTTTGTCAGCTTCTGCGATGGCTGAAGAGTTTCTGGAGCGCCAGTTCTGACAAGTTCTTGATGTAACTAGTAACTACACTGACCCCTTGAAAGCCGTCTGCGCTTCAGTCGCAGGCTCCTTCTTCCAGCGGAGTGCAATCGAAAGATGAGGCCGGTGCTTCACAGTTTTTTGCTTGAGGCCATCCGATGACCATGGACAGGTCAGATGTCTAGAAGGCTAGCGTAGACCTGTCCAGGTTGTGCACCAGGTGCAAGCATCTCTGAGACCGGAGGCATATCATGCCTTATGCGACAGGCTCAGCCGTGATCACGAGGGAGATCCAAACTACAGAACCAGAAAAGACGGGCAGACTCTGCATGGATTAGGTCGTCTCAGGAGAGCCGATGAAAGTGAGAGCGAGGTGCGCGATTAGTAGAAACAGGGGAGCAGAGCAAGATGAAGTTTTCCGTGCTTCTTCTTTGTACACGATCCTTGTGCCTGCAGATTCTCGAGAAGGCGCTCGTTCTGTCCGCAGCCTGGCAGTTGTTCATGGCCGCAAGTTGGAGGACAACACCCGCACCCAGAGAGTTCGATAAGGTTGGACACCTACACAGTTGTCTCCAAAGCGCTGGGCCGGGACAACCAAGCCGTCAAGGCCATGTTTTGGTTTGTTTGTAGATGATCCGGAGGTTCATGCTACAACAAACCCGGAACGTGGCAGTACCTGGTAGGCGTGCCAGGCACCCCAGCGAAAGCTGCATAAACGGCCTATTAAGGCCTCCAAACCTTAAACGCATCCTAAGCACGTCCAGAGGACGAGACCCGAAGGTAAGCCTCAGCAAGCACTCATGCAGCATCTCTCATCGATGGTTACGCTTCCTGACTTCAGTCATTGCGGGGTCGTCATCCCAATGCCGACTTGGCCAGCCACGGACCCTGAAATGACATCAGCCGAAGTGTTTCTTGCTGTCAGTGCAGCAAAAGCCTATGTTCCAGGCCTTTGGCCTCAAGGTTTGGTTTCGTCGCGGATACCAAAGCGCAACCATCAGGGCTGCCAGTCTTTGTGGAGAATGCCACCATCCCTTCAGAGGGACTGGAAAGGGGGCTTTGGAATCAATGCCTCCCTTCGAACTACTGGACAAAGGTCGGCAGAGGAAACGCTATCAAACACCACCCCGGCATCCTCCGATATTCCCTGACTTCCGCATGCATTTCTGCAGCTACAAAGGCATGGCTGGTTCCGAGGCCTGCCCTTAATGTGCAGACCTCTGAGCTAATGCCAGTTACAGGTGATGCAGGTTCATCTTTTTGACGTAAGCACGAACAAAAGCCTGCCAAGAGTTTGCCTGACGTAACCACAAGTTTGCAGCTAAAACTGTGATGTAGCATTCGTAAGTGCATTCGTAAGGCAATGAGAGTTGTTGACACACAGTCGGCATGTGTTTTACACCGAGGCCGTCACAAGTGTGAGCATGCCCCAGGGCCTTTCCGACATACAAGATAGAATCTAAGAAGCGACCTACTTCAGCGAGGTCACTTGCTGGTAGGAATACTTTTGCCTGTTGTTTCGTCCCGTGCAGGCTGTCAGAGTGGTACAGCAGATGCGAAATGCCGGCTATGCAGACGACTGGGCTGCGACCTGAAAGGACACAACGCGTGCGTTGCCGGTCACACTGAGTGTGCAAACAGGCCCTGATCCTGTGCCGCGCACTTTTCCGACAGAGAGAACGAGACCTTCGCAAAGCCTTCGAGCTTTTCGACCAGGACCGAAGAGGGCATGAACACCAAACAGCTATTCTTGTGGTGATGTTCTTCTCGGATGTGCAAAATTCCCTTTCGGCTACTGGGTTGCTTTCTTGCGCGGCGCAACTGGTGCGATTTGAGATGGTCACAGCAGTAGCGCGGGTGCCGTTCGTTCCCCGGCTCCCTCGCAATAGTTACGCTCGAGATCGCTGGCACTTATTAATATACAGGTTGGAGCTGCTGGAAGCAAGTCCAAGACTTGTGAGGGTTTGCGCTTCCGAACATGTCCCAGTGATCTGGACACAGTGTTTCCAGGGCATCGGCCATGGCCACGGCTGTTGCTTACTGCATTTGCAGACCTCATGGCCCATGACCGACAGAAATCAACTGGCAAGACACAAACACTCTATACACTCCTTAGACTGTAGATTCATCCGGACCTTCTCTCCGCTGCATCATCCGCCCCGCCCTACCTCCCTCACGTGCCCCCTTCGCCTCCTCCGACACGAGGACAGAGCCTTGCCTAAGACCTTCAATAATCGGGCTGCCTTCGAAGGACAGCAGCTCATGGATCGAGGCCTCAGAATTACGGCAGGCGTTGCCGTTGATGGGCGAGGAGGCGGTGGCGTGGGAGCGGGAGTGGGACGAGGGACCCTCAGCCGCAAGTTGCTCGAAAGCTGCCTCAGCTAAGCTACCGGGCCTTGAAACCGGCAGATGGCGAGAAGCATGCACCCATGAGCACGGCACCCTTGCACGCCATCAAAGCTTTTGCCGCAGGTGCCTGACTCGAAGATTGACGAGCTTTTCGAGATGGTGGACAAGGCTGTGACGTGCGGAGGATATGCGAGCAATATTTTTCAAGTCAACTGTGACCCAGGATAAGCAGAACTTGCTGGATTTTGAAGAGTTCTGCTTTCTGGCGCAAGCCTTATTTGGAGCAATTCCCTCACGGCGACGGTCTGACCCTACCTGCCCTATCTTCAGGTGAAAGGCTTGAACAGCGCGGAAGGCAGTGCTGCAACTCAGAAGAACTGCTGAGCAGCGGAACAGGTATGCGAAGACTTCCAGAACTCTCGGTTGCCAGCAAGTATGCAAGTACTGTCAAGGTGAAGACCACGATGCCTTCGCCGTGTTCAAGTCTTCTGCCGAGGCTAATCTTGTCATATTCTCCTGAGTTTCCTTAGCCTAGGCCAGGGCATGACTGAAGCCAAGTCGCCCTGCCAGGGCACCCTTGAAGCTGTGGGGGGCGCCGTGGGTTCCATGGCATCTGGTTGTGACCTCAGGCAGCATTGCACCAAAGTCACTGGAAGCACCTGCGTGTCCCAGGAACCGGCAAGGCTTGGTCAGCAGTGTCCACCGCCTGGTCTGCCGACCTGCCGGGCTTGAGCCAGGCACCTACAGTAGCAGCTCAGTAGCAGCTAGGACCTAGGAGACGGACTGGTGGCGAAGATGAAAGGGATGTGTGCTGCCCAGGCCCTTTCGAAATGCGCAAGGCCGGTGCTCCGTCCTCAGCAAAGTCCATGGAGGTGGGGCGCAGAAACGACCACATGGAGCGTAGCCCGGAAATGGCCAGGGAGTGAAATTGCACTTCGGAAGCTTGGGAACTCAAGGGAATGCCAACAAGACCCTTCGCCACTGGAGGAGAAGTAGGGAGGAACCTGACAATTCCATCAAGTGCACGCGTAACCGTCCGACCCGGTCATAGGGCTCCTGAAAGTATTTTGCGTCGCCCTTCTACCAAGTACGGGATGGCGGCAGCACTTTTTCTCGAGGCCATCTTGAATAACATGGTGGCAGCCGGATACAGCGAAACCATGGCCAGCGTCTCGGTTCCACAGAGCGCCTGGAAGGGAAGTTTCATGGAACGAACGAGGCAGTAGCCATCTGCCGTGCGCTGTTCTGCGGGCAGCCGCTGCCCTATCGAAGCCAACAGTATAGTTAGAATAATCCAAGACTTTGCGGAGTTACGCAGTATTTGTTTCGCCGGCGAAGTAGACATTTTTTACACAACCTGAGTTTAGGCTAGGCTGCTGCCGATGCAGACCATCTGAGGACCGAAAAGCAGATGCGAAAGGCATACAAGTTCTTCGATTCGGATGAGAATGGCAGGCTAGGTGCTTCGCACTGCCTGATTCGCTTGCTTTCGTCTCGGGCCGAGATGGGCCGGTGGGCGAGGATCGACGTGAGCGAGCTGAAGCAAGCATTGAAGTTGATGGCGGAGGACTCGTGAGCTGGTGTAGGCAATATGCGCCGCCATGCGCCGCCTTCGTCATGTTCAGGATGTAAAGGATGAGGACCTGGCGGAAATCTTTCAGGCGGCAGAGCAGCAGATTTCAATGCAGTAGTGACCTCGGCATGGTCGGCGGCGGTGCGCGACATCAGCAGTGTGAGGCCGTGGACCATGATGGCAATGGTGCCATCAGCTTCGAAGAATTTTGTGTGCTCGTCGGGGGCCCAGTTTCGGGTACTCAGTGAGCACTAATATGAACATCTAAGGTTTCTTAATTTTGCTCGGCACGTCACCCGATCATCTCTCGAGGTGAGAGCTATCAAAGACAAGGGCGACAACTCCAAGAGTGGCCTGCTGCCGTGGCCTAAGTCCAAAGACCACACGTCAGTGTGCGGTGAGCCTAAAGACGTGTGCCTCTCCGCAGTGAGAAGGTCCGCCGTGACGACAACTTGGGAGAAGTTCTCTTCAAGTGCGACCCCTGCGTGGATGAGACTGCAACAGAACCGTACCGCTCAGATTTTTCCGAATAGGGTCCGGTTGAGCCTAAGCCTTGAGGCTTCGCCGGCGGTGCTGCGCAGTGAATGCTGCGCATTGTACAAAGTCCATTAGCTTCGTCGTAGACAGCCAGAAAGCGCCCCATAGGAGAAGCGGGGGCATCTGCGCGGAGGTTTGCAGCTGCAACTCCCACAACAGATTCAGCTCGATTGAAACAATGCACACCGGAAGCTACGCCTGTTGACTCGATGAATGCTTGTCGCTTCTTTACTTCTTTTGCGCCATGGCCATGTGGAATCAAGCCATTGTGACATGGAGTATGCTTATTACCATGCCAACGTGTTTTTGGAGTGGCAGGTCCGAGGAGGTTTGTGGCAGTTAAACGGAAAGTGTGGGCGAGCAAATCATGAATCATGCTTGAGGTCCAGGATTGCAGCTTAGGCCGGGGCCCAGTCTCTACACCTGGAGACGGAGGCCGAACCGACTCGGCCCTAAAGCCAGGTGCCGAAATCGCAGGCGCCGCAGCAATGCGCCGGGCTGCGAGAAACTAGCCTCCATGAGCCTTGCTCGTTTGCACGGGCCCTACTTTCCACCTCCGGGCTCAAGCTCGGAGACTCGGAGGGAAGTGCTTTCGCCACATTTTCAACTGGAATGCCGGGTGCCGCGCTTGACTTTGGCCTTGTATTCTGTGCAGCCAGCTGCACTCTTGATCTGACAGTTTTACCACTGGAGATCCAAAGACCTCAGCGCCTCTTAGGGGCTCGATGGCACCCCTAAGCCCTTGCCCCAATGGTCCAAGCCCAGCCTCCTTAGGACCGATGCTGTGCTGGAGACACTGCCAGTATCTCCAGGATAGCATCGGTCATGTCAGCCGGCTTTCCCTGCCGGAATGCAAACGCGTGGACGCAGCTGGGCATGTCGTGCTGCGTTGTGGTCTTGTGGAGCCTCAACTGTATTCAACAGCCGACAGCCCAAATCACATCGCGCCTCCAGCAGCTACTCCCACCTGCAGCTGACTGGACATAGACCGTACAACCAAGATACTCATGCCGGTCCTTCAAGGATTGCCCCCTGCAGCTTCAGTTGGAGTGATCCTTGTCTATTCCGGTGTATGGCACCGACATATATCCCGCGCCCCACACTCACACCAACTCATATCTACCAGTCGTTTTTGATGCACTTCATCCCCCACACCCCTCTTCAGCATCCTATTTGTCAACCAGCAAGCCCACAGCCCTCAATGCATCACTGCTCTCTGGAAGACTGACCCCATCGTAGGGGCCACATTCGCATTACTATTCTCCGTGCGCAACCCCTCCCACCACCACCACCACCACCACCAACACCACCACCGCCACCACCATCGCAACCACCATCGCAACCACCGCAACCCTTCCTGCAACCACCACCACCGCCACCAGCAGCACCACCACCCCATGCCCTCCGACTCCGGTTGTCATCCAAAATTGTGAACCAGATCTACTGCAGATCATTCCAGACAAGGTTTACCCAGAGAATCTGGATGGCGAGTTAGTTCCCAGCGCAGCGCTTTGTGCGAACTTCGCACTGGACGGGGTCAGTGCAGCCGACACTGTGAGTGTCACTTTGGGCATTGACCACACCTCGCTATTAGGTTTGATCATTTGGATCGAGAATCCGGCTGGGAATATCTAACGGCTTCTGAAAGGCAATGGAGGCAGCAGCGATTTCTTCTCCACCAATCCAGACACATTTGTGTGGTCCGCGAATGCTCCGCCATCGAACATAGGGCTTCCAGGTGTGAATGCTTTGTCCGACCATTTGACGGCGACTTGGATGCCTTGGCAACAAGCCCCAATAGAAACTGGTCATTCTGCATGGGAGATCGGTATGGTGGGGATATTGGGACCTAGATTTCTTTCAATTTGAACCTTCCTGCTGTCGGTCCGTCTTCCAATACCATTTCCGGTGCAGCGGCCATGTCCTCCACACCAGAGGTCATCAAGGTACACTTTGAGTTCCAGGACTGGCCCACCAAAATTCCCAGACCCCGCTGATGTACAAAGGAAGAAGCTGGCAGCCGGGCAATAAAATATTGCCAATCTCAGTTTGAAATGCCTTGCTCGGCCAATTTTTAAAACGATTCTCCAGAAGGCTTAGCATGGCAATGTTTTCGTGGAGCAAAGATCCTTGGCAGCCGGGCAGGAGGAAATTGCCATTCTCCAGGCTTAGCATCGCAATGTTTAATGGAGCAAAGCTCCTTAGATCCGACAACGCCGAATCGCCACACAATCAGCGTCACTGCGATATCTGGTCAACAAGCATCAGATGCTGTGCTAGTCTGGGCCAGTCAGTCTGCAAGCAGGGAGCCCTGGACGGCGTGTTCGGCTTTCGGCTTGAGCTGTCACATCATGCCTTTGCAAGAGCATGCCTTCGACACGGGCCTCGGCCTGACTTGCCTTGCTCTGCAACAGAACATTGTCAGCTGAGACTCGGAATTTGCATGACCTGACGGCCCTATATACAGCCTGCCAGATAGCCCCCACATAATCCAGCAAATCAATAGCAAGCAGCGCAGTCACAGACATGCGCGTAAACTGCATGCCGCCACCTTTGTGTTTGGTTGCGCTGGCAGGCACGGGAACATGTCAGTTCCGATCATGAGTACTGCTCTTGCATCGCTTGCCGAGGCAGGTGTTCAAGCTGAAAGAGCTGCACAGCGTGGCACCCAGCGCAGGGCGGAAGCTCTGACAATGCTTGTTGACATGATTCGCGCCAGACATCAATTCCTTGCTAGTGATTTCAGTGTCACTTGCCATCCAAACAAAGTCAAACAAATAGATACGCTGTACTTCTGCCGGCCTGTACCTGCCAGTGAACTGCGGCGCGATCATGACATGCGGAGGGCTAACCTCATGCCGAAGAGCATTTCTCCTCAACTGAAGTATCTCCAGCCACTCCAGCCACGCAACATCGAGAACGGGTGACAAGCAACATGCCCCGACAGCATGACCTTGCACTGGTGTTCGTCCGCATCACGTAGCTGCACAAGACGTGGGAGCAAAGACTCCTTTTCCAAGCCCCTCTCGAACTTTTGCCAAACTCAAGTGTCGATTTAAATCGATGAGCATTGCTCTGTCATTCAGGCCCAAGGGCTTTGAGCGCCTCTTGTCACCGCTGACCTTGCATCCGTGTCTTCTGATTTTGTTCAGTAATCGCAGCCCAGGCTTTGCTGGGCCTTTCCTGAACAGACACGGTTTGTTAGTTTTTTGTACAACACCTACTTATTGCCCGTTCTGAGCTATGAAAGTCATCATCACGGGTGGCTTTGGCTTTCTGGGCTTGCACCTCTGCAAGCGAATCCTGGCTGTGGGCGAACTGATCGGTGCAGATGAAAGCACGCATGTGGTTCGCAAGCTTGTGCTTTTTGATGCCGGTTCTCCACCAAAGGACATGCCAAGAGATTCGCGCATCGAGGTCCGAGTGGGAGACATTACAAACGCAGATGAGGTCAAGTCTCTCGTCGACGAGGATGGCATCGTAATCTTTCATTTGGCTTCCGTCATGAGCGGACAAGGGGAGAAGGATTTCGACATATGTTGGAGAGTGAATGTGGAAGGAACCCGCAACTTGCTTGAGCCATGCCGGGCCCGGCGTGGTTGCAAGTTTGTCTTTGCATCTTCAGGTGCTTGCTTCGGGGAAAGGTCTGACGGCCCGGAGACCGACACCACAAAGCTTTTGCCTCACACCAGCTACGGGATGACCAAAGCCTGCATGGAACTCGTCATCAACGACTTTACACGCCGTGGCTTTGTGGATGGCCGGGTCGCGCGCTTGCCCACCGTGATTCCAAGACCAGAACCCAACTCTGGGCTTCCGGCTGCTTTTTCAGACATCTTGCGACAACCATTGCAAGGGCAGCCCGCCGTCTTGCGACTGAAGCCAGACATGAAGCATGCCGTCTGTGGCTTCCGCGTTCTTGTCAGGAATCTGATTCACTTGGCCAACCTGCCTGCAGCAGCTTTCGCTGAGTCCATCGATCGATGTATGAACATGCCATCCTTGTCTGTTACATTGCAAGACCTTGCCGAGTCTCTGCTCAAAATTGTGCAAGATCCCTCCAAGCTGGGTAGCATTACTTATGAACCGGACGCGGAGCTCTGTGGAAAGCTATCCACTTTTCACAAACACATGGATGCAACACGGGCACGCGCGCTTGGGATGATGTGTGACAGCTCGGCAGCCGCAATTGCAGCAGATTTCGCTGCAGAGTATGTGGATCCGCTGCTGTTGAAGCCAGTGGTGGAAATCTACGAAGAGCCACGCCACTGGCTAGCTTTTTCCAACGAACACGTGAGGGTCTTCCGTGTAGAGAATCCACCGGGAGACACTACTTTGATGCATGTTCACCGAGTGGACAGTTTGTATTTCTTCTTCACCGCAGCGCAAGTGCAAGGGACCAAACTCCACGAGGAGCCCAAAGATGATCTACTTAGTTGTGGTGAAGTTCGTTATGGTGATCACGGCAATTGCTTGCTGACTCACAAAATCTACAACAAGGGTCCGCCAGTGATGATGTGCCTGGACGTAGAGCTTGCTGGATTCCAGAACACGCAGACGGACGGTGCCGCGGCGAAGCGGCCAAGGACTGAAGCTGCGAATTTGCCAGCAGGACTGCGGCTGACAAAGGAAAGGCCAGGGGCCCGGGTTCACGACCTGGATCTGGCGGCTGGTACATCCTGGGCTGGACGCATACCATTTGCAAGAGCTTTGTTCGTGGTTCACCGCGGAGCACACGTGCGAGGCGAGCTTGGGGACCGCCTACTCAAGCCGGGAGATGTGTTCTTCCGAGACGGTCCAATAGACATGAAGCTGGAAGTGCTGGGAAAGCGCCGCGATGTGGCCATTTGGGTCGTGGAACTTCTGTACTGATGTGCCATGGAAGTATACAAGCAAGAAATCGCGGTGCGCCTATAGAGAGAACCACTTCCCAGATCGTACCAGTGGACACTTCAGCCACCTGTGACCTTGAATAGTCAAGACTTGACATGCCGTTGCAGTGTCGAATCAGATCGCAAAGACACGCAGGTCTACAAATCGTCGAGTAAAAGCATTGCTGGGCGGAGGCCGATCGTAAGACTCCAAGCGTTTTGTACGTAGATCTGCTTGAGTTGCCAGGTATCCGCCTGCCATCGGAGTTTGCCATGAGTGCCTACACTAGCACGAAGTGCGCCGCACTTAGGCAAAGCATGGACAGGATTGCTCGGATGACCGTTGAAGCTGAGACACGTCCACCTGCGTATTACGGCCACGGTGTGCCGGAGTGGTTAGGCGGTGGAGCACAAGGCGGTCAGCTGCAGGTGTGGGAGGCTGGATGCGCCAGTGCAGATTGCCAGCACGGCCAGCACATCATGTCTGTGGTGTTTGCAGCAGGCCACATCCAACAACGGTGGCTGCAGCCGGGCTCTCAAAGAGGATGTGCTGAGAAGCTACGGAGCAGACCAAGCGCAATTGCGGCATGAGGTGCAAGCACCAGCAGCACCATGACCATCCTGTCCAGAACAACAACTTCTCCCAGCTCGCCGCCAGTGCAGTTCAAAGCTTAGACGTGAAATGCATTTCCCAGCTTGGCTCACACAGGCCAGGTCTTCTTTGTGTATTCTTCTCGCAGCCGTGAGACAGGTCACCGCATTTGCGCGACTTCCCAAGTGACCAGGCCGCTGCATGCATGTGGCGTATGTGGCTTGTTCGGGTGGCACTGCTGCACGGCAATACCGCAGTTCGTAACTTGCTCTATGTTGCTCTCAAGCAGCACTGAAAACCCAGCAAATCTGAACAAGCGTGCATCATGCACAACCGGCCTCGATTCACTGACGCAGTAAGCACTACGCGCTCTGCCAAGAATACGGGTGTGTTCTGGTTTGACGATAGGAACGATGCCGCTGCCTCAGGCCAAAGAGATAGAATCCTATCGGCCCAAATTCCAGATGAGACCAGTGTGAAAGGCATGCTACAAAAGTAACACTTCCGCCGGTCAGGCAGGTCCCCGACAAATACCGACCAGACCGTGGCATGTATCCCTCCCTCCCTCTCCATCCCTCGCTCCCTCCCTCCCTCCCTGCCTCCCTCCCTGGAGAGCTCTAGCAACTTCGCAGAGAAAGATAGGCATCGGAATGCCGACTACTCGAAATGGCTATAAACAGGATGAAGCGAATCTGCTGCTGCAGACTTTGGGGCGCTTTTTCTTGTTGAAGCGTGCGCACACACGCACACACGCACAAGGAAAGCACACGTTGCGACAGCCTTGTGGAACAAGCGAGTGAAGGTGAAACCGGTAGGATACCTGCCGGGATCCGAGCATTGTTGCCGCCTGGCGCTCGCCGCAGGAGTTTCTGGAGGGCGGTGTCGAGCTGTCCCCCACAAAGGCAAGCCGGAAGCATTTTGTCAGCTTGCATCTTATGCATTGCAAGGCTGACTCCACTGAAGATTTCCTGCCGCTTTCCACGCAACCACTCGCCGCGCTGGGTGCTGAGATTCTGCATGCAGCAGCTGTGGCAAAACAAAGCGCTGCAACAAAGCATAGGCTGGACACGGATGCTGCCTTGCAGCATTTCTGGCCTTCAGATTTGGTCTCGTCAGCGTGCTCAGATCACGACTAACATGGTTTCAAGAGAAATGCATGCTGCATGCCCTGCCCCTAGGAAGGCACATGCTTGCACATTTTGTATGTGGCTCAGGCCTAAGGCACTTTTCCTGGATTACGTAACTGCCTCGGCTTTTTCCTTTCATCACTGACACTCGCTGTCAATAGTATGGTCCAAGCTCAGGACGGAACTTTGCGTGAGTTCGAGAGCAGCCCGGAGCTTGCAGCGACTTGGACAAACCTGAGCTTCAAGTCTGTACGGCTAAGCTCTAAAGCCACACAGCCTAAATTTAAAGTGTTTGGAAGCTGGCTCCTTTCTTGTGTCCACGAACTCTTGGATGTCCGGCCGGCACCTGTGATGTCAAGCAGATGGCTGCCATGAGGTCCCAACATCGGAGTTGATGAGCTTGCTGCAGGCATGACGGCATACCTGACCCAAGATGTTGCCCAGAGTAACGATCAAAAACTGGACCGTGGTTCACGTCGATGAGATATGACCAGTGGCGGATGTCCACACACGTGCAGCGGGAACGGAGCGCCTGAATGCTTCCTTGTGATCATCAGGCACTCAACGAACGTCCGGACTTGAGGCCAGACGAGGGACACAAGAAGGATTCCGAGGGCTGCCCATTTGTGCACCTTTCTGATTTCGGTGGCCCACCAGACAACGACTTCTCAACATCGTTTGTTAGCCTTTAAGGTCCTAAAAACCTGATGTCGAGAGCAATGAATGAAGAGTGCGTACACGATGTATGGTGCCCATGCCGAGCACGGTCTGTTTGATGACCTGGGAGTCAGAGAACTGCAGGCTGTCGTCCTACTGCCAAGCATCAGGAGGATCAGTGCCGAAACTATGGCCGTCACAGGTACAACAAGCAGATCGGTCGGAGCCGAAAGCAAATCTAAACAGATCAAAACCGCTTAAAATGCCTTCATGCCCATCCGGAAGGCTTTGTGGCAAGGGATCTTCGATTCGGCGGAAGCTCTAGAGTCCCGTTCATGGCAGGCCACACATCATCAGCGGCCGCAGCTCCGAATTCCTGGAAGCTCATTTCGGAAGCCCCGGGCTCAATCTCCACAAAGTGCCAGAGCATCCGCACCTGTCGACGGATGCCGGTCTTTAATCGCACATTGGCAGGGCAAAGGAAGCGGCAGGCGAACTGTAATCAGCAGCCGTTGAAGCACAGTCAGAAAGGATGCGGATTGTTTACGCCTTGTGCACTGCATGCAAAGACAGCCCCTCCCAAGGTCTGAACGCCTTCACTTTGATCGCCGAGCACGGGTACCATATCTCACCACCTGTAGCAGGTTCGCATCATGCAAGTTCCGAGTATCAAGTCTTCGGGTTGAAGCGCATGCATGGAGCTGTAGAGTCACTTGAGCTTTCGGTGTCCTTGCGCATTGCCCCCGAGAAGGTGATTGCCGGACTTGGCGGCTTTGGGAACACTTTGGTGGCGTGATGCACTCAGCAGATGATTGCCGTCACCACAATTATTATATTATTATTACTATAATTAATATTATTATTAATATTATTATTATCAATATTTTTATTAATATTATTATTATTATTAATATTATTATTATTATATTATAGCCCAGCCTGCGCATCGAAGCCGGCCTTCAGGATGCGAAGCATTTCACGGAGCACAAGAATTGGAAGGCAAAGCTCCGTCGGAAGCTCAAACCGACGCAACTGTTGTCGGCTATCTTCGGCCCACAGAGCCCTTTCAGCACGGCACCCACCCAAACATGCCTAGAATCAGTCAAGGCCGGTTGCGAAGGGAAGTCATCCCACCGGTGGAAGAGTTTGCTTTTGCGGTAATTATGCGGGTTCAGGTTGTCTCAAAGCTGCTGCTGAGGTGAGGCCATGTCCCGGCTGGCCGATCAGAATCCAGGCAGCCGTTTGGAGGCCACTGGTCTCCTGCTGGTTTTTCTCTTGTGTCCGGTGGTGTCCTTGCCTGTGCTATGTAAGGAGAAGCAGTCATCTCTGGTGTGGCACTACCGACAGCTGGCAGACGAGGCGGGGGTGCTGCAGCGATGTGCACTTGATATACTTGGATATTCATCGCTGATCCGTGCCGCGCATAATTTATTGTAAGCTTCTGAGACGGGGTTTTCTGCCGCTTCACTTGCACATATGAGTCGAGGGCATCTGCTTCGAAGCAGGGGTCGAACCACAACAAGCTTCCAGGAACATAGCACTTGAAAGACATGCCGGTAACAACAGCAAGCTTCCGAGAACAAAAAAAACACCAGGTAGATAGTCACTTCAGTCGTATTGGCGCAGTCCGCAGGCTGCAGCAGATACTGCCGTGGCGAAGGCCGACACTCATGACACTGGGCAGAGGTTGTTGCACAGCCCTTGCCAAAGCAAGCGCTCGGACTACTTTTTACGGTATTCAACCAGTTTACAGCTGTCCGGTCCATCCGCTCCTCTTCAGGCATTTGAGGACCTGGAGCAGTTGTGCAAACGTGAGCGACTCCAGGAGAGCTCTCACAACCCAAGTTGAGTGCTTTTTGGGTTTTGCTTTGCCCTGCAGGACATCAACCTCACCAAGGGCCACAAGGTCTTGGAGGCCTAGCCCGGAAGCGAATTAAGCCTGTCGGAGAAGAGAGCAAAACAAGCTTCTGCTTTTCGCTCACGGAGGCGTCTTACCGGAATGTTCGGAAAGGCCTCTCCTGCCTGCACGTGGACACATGGGACGGCGGCTGCACTGATAAATGCTGAGTTTCCACCAAACAGGCTTGGTAATGAGACGGTTGTGCGAAGAGAAGGCTCTCTTTGGAGAGCTCCAGCCCCAGACAGAAAGCTCTTCTTGCGGATGGGCTGATTCACTGCTTCAACTTACTTCAATGCTGCCCCTGGCAACGAGGCCATATTCTGCCGTTCTAGCCGCAGGCGACGATGTTTCGGACGAGACTATGCCACATTCTCAGAAGCAGCACGATGGCAAATGCTGTGTGCTCAGAAGACATCAAGGTTTGAGGCAGCGCCGCGAGATTTCCTTACCATAAAGGCTCGGTCCGGGATGTTGTTTCTGCTCGAACAGGACTGAGGAAAACAGATGGAGAGCTGTGGGCTTTTCAGGGGGGATTCGACTTGTCCTTTGCAGGTCGGCGCAGGCAGCACAAGCGCCAGCTTGCGTCGGAAGCTTTGCATCTCAGGCCGTGCGGGTCTGTTGGGAAGCCTCATGGCTACAGGTGCTCAGACACCAGAGGAGCTGAGGCAATTTCTTTGGCGCCTGGTGTTCGCGCCCTGGATACTTCCAGCCGAACATGTGGCAAGAGAATGTAAGAGGGAGTATGCAGTACGTTTCCCAAGGTCCTGCAGGTGATGAGCCCTGGTCTCACGAAACTGCAGGTGATCATGGCTCGGTCCTCTTCATGGCTCGGCCCTCTCATTTCCACCCATAAGCTATTGCAGTGCGACGAATCCGACCGTTACTAAGGTTGCCAGGCATCCTCCTTGGGAGTTGATCTAGTTTTTGGCCCGAGTACATGTTTAACATATATCGGAGAGAAGCTCAGTAGAAAGCTGCTGCAGCTTCATGCCTAGAGAAAGCTTGTGTGCACACGCAGAAACCCCAATGATAGCTTTCGCCATGGAATTCTGGAGATCGCACTTGACAAGCTGCACACCTTGAAGATCATGCACTACCAATACACAGTTCCTTTTTGCTGTCCAAGACACGTGTAAATAGTTTGTCATGCATCTGGCGCTTGTCCCACCAGATGCCGATGTGCATGTGCTCGCTGACGGAGATGGCGAGAAAGCCTGATGTGCTTTGATAGCGAAGAGGACACTGAGAACACACGATGTGTGACAGAGACTTGTACTTCTCCCAAGATCCTAAGAGCATTTGGCCTTTGTATAAACAGTCAATGTTTCCTTTAGGTGACGCAAATCAGGCCGGTTTGACTCGCGCCCATCAGCGATTTTGTTTTGCTCTGTCCATAGAAGTTGGATGAATCGGACCAATGGTTGCAGGTTCAAACAGCACTTTGAAGCTTGAAAGACCCTGATCCTGATCTGACATGGCACTCAGCACTTGCATGGCTGGCTGAATCAAGTGCTGTCTGAATCTGGCTCCACTTTACTGCTCAATACCTTCCAACACAGTATTTGGAAGCCACAAGGTCAGCCTGTTCCAGAGACCTCAGCCACTGCGATATACTGCGATACAGGAATCGTAGCAGAAAAACTTGGTCAGAGTGAATGCACCAGGAGTTTGCAAGAGTGTTCAGGGCTTGGTTACACAAAATTTGTGAACTTGCAATTGTCTCTTTCATTTCTTGACTTCCTGACTTTGGCTCGAGCTGCAGGGGGCTTCCGATGTCTGAGATGGTTATGCTAGGAAGAAGGGGAGGTCTTCGAGTTGAAGTAGGTACGGGAGGTACTCCCAGAGTGTGAGTGTCGAAAGACGGCGCAGAGATGAGGCCGACCCGGCATGATGGTTTTGAGCGCAAGAAACGGAGATGGCCAATATTTCACAGCTAGGAGTTATAGAGACCCAACCCAAAAGGTGATGTCTGTATAGCATAGTTCAGATGCCTGACCTAGCCTTAGCCATGGGCCTGGGGAGACGCGAAGGATCACAACAAGTGACTCGCAAGATGTGTAAGATGCATCAGTTTTCGAGAAGTCCCGTCTGCCGGGCAGTAGTTATCGCAGCCTGGGGCCTCCAATTTTTCGGGGGCTTCGGTGTCATGAAGCATTCTGATTGAAGGATAGAGAGGACAGAGCAGTCGATTTTGGATCTCAGGTCTTCTACGGCTGTTACGGAGCAAATCTCCAGCAGTTCAGCCTGGCATTCCATGTACTTCATCGTCGCCTAGGCCTAGGCTTGCCGGCCATGTTTGCAGCGCACGGCGCGCGCTAGACCTTTGTAGCTTCCTTCGCAGCACCTCTGAGCCTGCACGAGCTTGGCTGGCAGCCAACTGCACAGCAGGGCAGAGCCTGCTGCTTCCTTACACCATTAGGCAGACCAGCATCGATTCGTCAATTCTCATCGTGCAGTCGTGCATGTACGGAATTTCTTTATTGACGGGTAGACCGGCAGATGAGGGAGCAAGCGACGCAGCTCGTACTTTGCGACTCCCCACAGCTGCTAGCTCAGCCACGGCTGCATTGCCCGCACTGCATGAAGCAGTGGTTCTCCGATGTGAGTGTAGGAGCTGTAGGACCAGAAGCAAGCAGGCCTTTATCATGTTTTGCAGCCGCGCTGCTGCGACCGCGGACACTGCCTAGCTGGTGTATTGCGAGCGCAGCGGCTCGGACTTTTGACCGCCCGTATGCCAGTCTCAACCGTGTTGGCTCACAGGTTTCCTGCCCAGCGCTTGCATGCCAGAAGGCCTTTTCACTGCATACGAACAGCGGCAGTTGCAAGACCGACGTGTTAAAGCATACATGCGAAGCTTGCGGAGGGCCCCCCTGAGCTGGTATGCCTTTGTCGAGGTGCGGGATGTAGCGTGGTGCTTGAAGACGATTTTCGCCGTCTGTATAAGTTTTGTGTGCCTTTCTGGAAAATTCAATAGTTTTGGCAAGACTGCAAAGCTTCCCGAAAGCCGATGGGTCTCCAAGCTCGTTGTCATTTCCTTGGCTCGGCCTTCCGTGCGTCGTTGATACTCAAGAGCTTCTAAACATAGGGTGCTCGAGCCGACGCGAGGCAGGAAGAGCTCTCATTATTTTTCTCATTCGTGGGGTGCAGCCGCTGCCGGCTGCGGCTGCTCAGTTCATTCATCGTTCTAAACTGCTGAACTTGCTCCTTCCTCTGATCGTCAGATGTTTTCAAACGGTGTTGTCCAAGTCTCGGCACATCTCGGCAACTGACATACACAAGCGAGACACACTGCGATCCAAGTGCCAAAGCATCGTGACCCCAAGGGCTTAAGTGGGCAGCTTCCTGCGAGTGGAGCGAGCGCAGCGTCGACGTGCTGGATGCGTGACTGTGGCTTGAGGGGGTTGTTTCTCGATAGAGAGAAGTGCGAAGTTCTCTTCATTCATCAGGCAGTGTTGAAGCTCGACCTGGTTCTCCATCGTTGTTAGAACATCAAGGCCGCAATGCACCTCGTAGAGGCAAGATGGGCTCTGCACGTGGGGGGCCCCCTCTGCGATTCTTTCGCAGGCAGGCAGTTTGCAAGGGCCAGCTTTCGGCCGACAAGAACGTATGCTCTGCGCCTGCGACCCTCCACCGACAGACTTTCTTCATGGCCTGCAGTTACACTTTACCAACACACTTGTAGCATCGATGGACCACTGGCTTGTCGCTGGGCTGTGCGACCCTGCCCCCGGTAAGTGACGTAGCGCTCCAGCAGCCGTTGTTCACAACGCGTTGCACTGGTAAGCCTCTTCGTTTTTCCATCTGCCTTCTTTCCGTGGGACGGTCCGAGCTGACCTTGCCACCTCGTGGGTTTCGCATGCCCCTTGGGCAAGTGCATTGTTGCCTGGCTTGCCACTTTGCTCAAGTCAGACAGGTGGTGGCTTTCCTCTTGACAAGGTTCTTTCCCATAGCTGCAGCTTTGCCCCTTAGAAACGCATGTCAGCGGCAGCAACGAAGTCTTGCAAGTGCCAGCAGCTGCCAATCATAGTGACGTTTGAGCCCTCCAGCGGGCCTCGATGTTGTCAAGCATGAGCCCGCATTTGCCGCTGCAGCTGTTCGGCAACTGCCCACTCAATGTACCAAGTGGGGCTTGTATCTGCCGAGGCCTGCTTTCCCATCGGGTGGCAGATTGTCGCGAGATGTTGCCTGAACATGACAACAGGAATTTAGCGGGTCTTTTTAGAGTGCTGCAGCAGTGGCGCTTGCTTTGGGTAGGGTCAGAAAAGCAAGGTGTAACAACGGGGAAATTCGCGCCGTTGTATTTGTCCGACCAGCACATGGCTCCCAGACACGACTACGAGTGCTCGCGGCTGCTTGGCCTGTAGAGTACAGTCTGGAGCGTGCTATGCACCTGTTGCGTGCATGGGCAGAGAGCGGAAGGTGGAGAGTCGAGAAGCCGACCGGAGCAGTTCCGAGCCGTTTCGCCCGGTATGCACAGGAAGTCATCAAAAGATGGCGAACGCCAGGTGAATTGCGATGAACGGCCGGCTCCCAGACAGCGCCGACGGCTGCTCTCCAGAAGCAGCAGTTTAGCAATTCCGGCCTGTCTTGCCCGCAGTGCATTACAGGGAGTCGTCAAGTCGCAATCGTGGCATTGATGGGAAAAGCCCAGAGGCGATAAGTTTCCAGCAGTCGGAGCATGTCGTCGATGCACAGAGTCCCGAGTCTCTTGGCACGAAGGTGAGGAAGGTGAGGAAGGCGAAGGAGGCGAAGGAGAAGAAGCGGTAGGCGGTCAGGGGCCGCGGCCGAGCCGCAGACAGGTCGCCTCTTGGCTTCAGGCTGTCAGGGGGGGTTATCACCGGGTTCGGGTCGGATGCTGTGAGCTGATTCTTCGTTCGGGGGAAACTGGACCAAGTGATGCGAAGGTCGCTTGCTCGCAACTATCAAGCCATTCGGGCTCCACCGCCTGGCTCTTAAGACCAAGCGAAACGGAAAAGACTGTCACTGCGCCCTACTCACATGTACAGGGCCGCACCGAGTTTTCCGGGTAGCGGGGTTCGAAGTAAATTTTCGCAGCTGTTAATGTACATTGCAGCCCCCCGACCGGCGCTGTAGGGGCAGGGTCAATTTGCATTTGACGGGCCTTGGACTGCCCTGAAGGATCTCAAGACTGCGAAAAGCCCTGCCCTCTTGGCCCCATGACTCCAGGGGGCCCTACAGATTGGGGTTTGTGGCTCAACAAGGTCCAGGGTTCAAAGTTTTGCCTGTGGCTTTCAAAGGGTTCGTTGGCTTTTATGAGCGAGAATCTCGAAGGAAGTTTCGGAGTTCTTGGTATCATCGAAAACATGCAGAATGAATGTTTGAGATGGAGTGAAACACACTTAACTTTGTCCCGAAAACCAAAACCTAAACTGAAACCCTAAAGTCTAGAGCCTGGCGGTCTAACATGGTAAGAGGGGCTGTTCCTGCGTTCTTGGTGAGGAGCTGAGCTTCAGTCAGCACAAGACCATACCCCTTACTTTTGCCATAAACCCCATTACGGCAAAATGAGTTAAGCTCCGTTCTGTGCCTTAGAAAGCAACCAAACTCATCCCGAGTACAGCGGAGGATAAGAATCCTGGGATCAGAGTATCCTATACGTCAGTGGTCCAAATGGAGTGCGCACAAGATGGCTCGTAGTTTTTACATCCCCAGTATGATCCTTTTTGCTCTCTTAGTCCAGCTGTTGAGCAAGGGGCAAAGGAATGGCCCGGCCAGCATACCATGCCGCAGCTCCTGACTGACAGCACCTTGTCCCAAGCTGTCGGGTCTGCGTTCAGCAATGAAATGCCGTGAGGAGGAGCGGCAGCTGGGTCTGCTGTTTCTGCTACGGTC